AGGAAACTGTAGATACTGTAGAGTAATTCCTCTGGCATAGTTACTTTGAACACTTGTAAAGAACTATACAATGTGCAGGGCAAGGCAGAATCAGGCTCTGTGCACCCTTTTTCACTTACTTGCTTATTCAGGGCTAAGCCTAGCTGGTAGACAAAAAGAAATGCCCATTAGAAAGTGTAAGGAACAGCCTGTCCTCATGACTTACCTTCTTATATAAGTCCAGTCCCCTCTGTCTCCATGAATGTCATTCCTTATCTACTGAAGAAAAAATTAAAAAAAAAAAGAAAAATTATCTTCTCACTTGTTTTATGGCTTTGAAAACTAAGCCTCCACATCAATGTTTTTAAGGCTTGTTTCCTTCTTAAATGCCTTGTATATATGTAAAAGATGGAAACCAGAAAAAAAGCCTTAATATTTTTTTGTCAAACATATATTGATACAAATCTGTAACAGCTTGAATGGAAATGGCTGAAAATTTATATAGCACCCATTCACTGAACAGGGGACTCATGCTGTATACATATATATATATATGTATATGTATATACATATATATATACATACATATATATGTACATGTATGTATACATATGTATATATATGTGTGTGTATATATATATACACATACACACACATAGAAGGACAGACAATGCACACATTTCATGGTTCTCGAAAGAAATCATTTCATCTACATAATTGGCCAGTTATCACAGCTGTTTTGTGCAATCCAAAAGCAGAAGAGACTACTCAATATACTTTCAGTTTTTATTTACAGCCAGCTGTTAAGAGATCAAATAAAGCTTGGGGTCTCTCCAATAAAGGAAGGTATGGTTTTATAGTAAAAAATTAATAGATTAAAAAAAAAAACAGGGAAATTATACGGTATTTAAAGTATATAATTTCTTTACTACAGCTTATCATTATAGTTCACAGCTGAAATTACTTTTTTTGCTATTACAGCTGAAAAGACTAGTTTATTTAACATTTTGGGATTGAGAGAAGTGTGGGAAGTGTGTTGTTTATTTATTTAAGTTTTCATCCAGCTAAAAAAAAAAATCAAGTGCAGATCTATTACTCACAGACGTTTCAGATGTTAAGTCATTGCATTTACACAGTGAAGAAAACTGAATTTTTGTAATCAATAGGCACTGGGGCACACAGGAGAGAATTATGCTTTTTGTCCAAGGCTGATCCTGCATGGTGCTGTGATCTCCCAGCATACATGGAGGCATTCTCAGCCTTGTCACAAGCTGAAGTACTGGGGCTGGCTCTCAGCTGTGTAATATATACCAGTGCAAACGTGCTTTGCAATTGTCAGAGTGTTGTAAAGAGCCAAACCATAACATGGTGAATGAATACAGTTGGCAGGTACTCCAAACTATATTTGTTTCCTAAGTTTGTACAATATTTTCAGTATAGTTTCCAGTCCTGGCTTCCAGTCTCCCAGTTTCCTGCTTCATCTTGCTTTAGATAACTACAAGTCAAGTAGAAATTGTTGATAATATTACAAATGTATGCATTTTTAGTAACTTCACTATTGCAATCAGCTCATTGCCCATTATACCAGCTCAAGAGACAACCTCTTTCTAGATAAATAATGTTTCTGAATATCCAATGTTACTGAGCTGTTGATATCTTCCTCCAGGGCCTAATTCAGACATGAAAAAAGAATGAGTTGAGGTTTTTGCAGTTTTTGTGATACAGCTACGTTTGCAAATGTGTTTCAAACTTAAAGGGTCTTTTTTGTCATTTATTGCTTTTTGACTGTTTTGTATTTCTTGCTACAATCAGTTAAACTTATTCTTAGACTGTGAATGATCTCAAGAAAGGTAAAATCCAAACAGTTCAGCCATTGTGAGGAAAAAATTCTTGTAGTATAAGGGATTATATTCTTAAATTGTCGTGTTCTGTTTTTAACAATTCTGATACATAAGCTGTGAAAGGCTGACTTTGCAGATACCTGCAAAAGATAAATCTGAGGAATTTCAGGGACAGGTGCTGGTGAATGGCATGAACCCTTTATCTGGACAATACAACGATGAAGCAAACTGACAAGGTATTGACAGTGCAGAGGAAATCTGTTGCATCCAAGCTGCCTCTGGTAGTGCAAACAACACAGGAGGGTAAACTTTTTTTCACTTGATGATTATTTATAACTTCAGGTGAAATGACCTTGACTCTAATTTCTGTTGCCAATGGAAAAATGCATCCAAGCTCTAAGGTGTCTTCTTTTTCCAATAGCTTTTAGGACACACTGAGATTACTCATCATGTCCACAAGAGCTTTATATACCTTGTGTAGTCTCTCTGTCCTAACTTGCTTAAAAGTGTTAAACTACTTCATGCACACCACCTGGTAGGTTTGTAGCAGTGAAAGAATCCTGTAAATGTGGGACTTACTGCAGATGCATGTTATAATGTGTGTTGTATAGATCAAGCACTGGATTTACCCGCTGTGTACAACACTATACACAGATATTTCTGTCTGAGAGGTCTGAGACAGAAATATGACTGTGTGCTACACTAAAACATCAGAAAAGGAGAAAAATTGCAAAATCCTTGATGGAATCTAATAAAATAGTGTGTAATAGCGATGTATACACACTGAAATCTCCCATATGAGGAAAAGCTGAGAGAGCTCAGACTCTTCTGCCTGGAGAAAAGAAGATTGAGAGTGGATCTTTTCAATGTCTATAAATATCTGAAGCACAAGGGCCAAATGGATGGGGCCGGGCTTTTTACAGTAGTACCCTGTGACAGGACAAGGGGCAACGGGCAAAAACTGGAACACTGAAAGTTCAATACAAACCTAAGGGAAAACGTCTTTACTGTGAGGGTGACAGAGCACTGGAACAGGCTGCCCAGAGAGGCTGTCGAGTCTCCATCTCTGGAGATGTTCAAAACCCGCCTGGGCACTTCCTTGTGCAACCTGCTGTAGGGAACCTGTTTTGACAGGGAGTTTGGACTAGATGATCTCCTGAGGTCCCTTCCAGCCCCTACAGTTCTGTGATTCTGTGAAATGAGAATCTCTGAAATAAGAATGTCTTTTTCTGTGTTCCTATTAACTGTTTGAAAACAACATTAAATGCCATAATGTAATTATTCAGTTTACTGTAACTGCTCTAAAGCTCTTGTAAGTTCTCTGCTCTAACCAAATGCTGTACTTAATATGAAGTTACTATAAAATGATAAGCAGCAGATGTAATATATCATGCCATTCATAATGCTACATGTTTTCACTGAAGGAAGCTTCATATTTGTCAGGCGGATTAGTTCAGCAATATGACTATAGAAGCATTATTGAAAAGCAGTTCTGAGAATATAGTGACTTAACAGATGTATTTTGGCTATCTGATTATCCTGTTAAAATCCCATTGAGGTTTTGTGTGAAATGTCTATGTTGAATTTCTATTAAAAGTTAAAATTAAATTGTTAAACAGATTGCTAGATTAGAAATCATAAAACTTGCTGTGACAGTAGCTCTAGGTGAGAATAGGGAAAATTTATCATCACAAAGACATTGCTGAGTCCCTTGTTAGTAACTCCTTCCTTCACATACTGACAGGTGTTGACCTAATTGTCTTTGGGAATGTTCACACTGCAGTGCAATACAAATAATTTATTCCATTACACAGCCTTTGTTTTCAGATAATTACAGGTACTCTCTAGAATGTTTTCTCTTAAATGAGCTTGTTTCAGTTGAATTCATGATGGCTGGTGGTCCAAGTCTTAGCATTCTTTACCACAGATAGCACCTTACTGGCAATCTCAGCAGATGATATTAGCAAACCCAGGTCAGAAACCTGTTTTCCATTGAAAAATGGCCAAACACATTCATCTGCATTAAGGCTAATCATATTCAAGCAGCAGTTCATCTGTCCTGATTACAGATACTCACTGACACTTGCAGAGGTCATTGTTTGTATGCAAAGTAATTAAAACTTTTTACTTCTTCCTTTGAAATAGTAAAAGAGTGTATTACGGCATTCAGCAACCCTGACTATGAACAAATGTCCAAAGGAATTTCAATACTTACTGGTGTGAAAGAGCCAAACAATTAAAAGCTGTTTTGAATTCAAAAACACAGGGAGAATATATCAGTTCTTTAAAAAAGGGGACATTCCAAACAGTAACTGCATCTGTGTTTGACAAATGGGGCTATAAAACCTAACAGAAAAAGTGAGTCTTGTTGCTTATGGGTAATATCCAAGCTAAATCAATGTCATATCCATTTATACCTGAATGGAAATCCCAAAAAGACTAATCCTTTGGAAAGATTCATATATGCTTTAATGTAGTTTAGATCAGGATCATCATGGAGAAAGAAAAACATCGTCGATGCTGAAATAAACATTCAGTCTTTTAGATAGTTGTAAAATACAGCCAAGAAAAGATTGTATTTTGGATCTTAATCTGCATTAGAAATATGTTTATCAAATCAAAAGACAGTTTCAATTTACATGAAAAAGAAGCCTCTCACGAGTATGTAACATACCTCAGAAAAATATCAATATTTACAAATGTTCACATCTAAATTGAGGGCATTTTATTTCACCATCAACAATATGGTGGTAAACATGTCACTGTCCTGGACAACAGTTTATCTTGGCATTGGTCTCATTTGTGTCTAATAATATATCAAATCTTGTGAGAAATGCCAGACTTTCTCAAAGCAAACAGCTGGGCTAGTAAAGACTGCCAAACTCTTGAAGTCTGTCAGATCAGTTTCAGTAAACATGGAATGCTCATTGGTAAATAAAACTCCATATATTTTTTAAAACTGCTTTGAAGCTAAAAGTTAATTTGCACTTAGTTTTCCTCTAAGGCCCAGTGAAGTCTGGAGCAACTCGTATTTTATCCAAATCAATTCTGCCTCTCTCTGATGATGATATATGTTCCTTCCATTGCAATAGGTGGTATTTCAAATGTGTGGTTTTTACCTTATTTGTGTGCTAAATTACTTCTTTATATTTATGTTTCTATATGTTTTATTTTAGGAGACATTCAAAACATTTCAGATAAGTCTTAAAATTGCTCCAGATGAAGAAGAAAACCTTCATCAAATGAAGAATGATCTGATTGACAGGTCAGCTTCAGAATAAAGCCAAGCCTGAGAAACAACAATCTAGAATCTTTCCATGAGCAGAAGAAATGAGCACTGAGAGACCTTCCAACCTAATCAAACACCCAGGACAGACAAGCATTCCTTCCCTTGAAAACATAAGTGATTTCTCCTTAAACATCACTGACTGCACCCAGGTTGTGGTGCCAGAGGAAGTTTTTTTCACTGTTGCTGCTGCTGGAATACTGGAAAATCTGCTTGTCCTTATTGCTGTTGTTAGAAATAAGAATTTGCACTTGCCCATGTACTTCTTCATTTGTAGTTTAGCCATTTCAGACATGTTAGGTAGCTTGTACAAAACTCTGGAGAACATCTTTATCATCCTGTGCAAAATGGGGTACCTGACACGTCGTGGGGACTTTGAGAAAAAGTTGGATGATGCCATGGATTCCATGTTCATACTGTCTTTACTGGGATCGATTTTCAGCTTGTTAGCTATTGCAGCAGACAGATATATCACTATCTTCTATGCTTTGCAGTACCATAACATCATGACACTAAGAAGGGCCTTGGTTATCTTGGCAATCATTTGGACGTTCTGTGCTGGCAGTAGCATTGCCATTGCCCTCTTCTCCTATGAAGCAGCAACAGTAATTCCCTTTACCATTCTTTTCCCTTTAATGATGTTTTTTATACTCTGCCTCTATGTTCATATGTTCCTCCTGGCTCGATCTCATGCTAAAAAGATAGCCTCACTGCCAACCAGCACAGTCCATCAGAGAACTAACATGAAAGGAGCCATTACACTGACTATTTTCCTTGGAGTTTTCCTTTGTTGTTGGGCTCCCTTTGTTCTTCACATCCTCTTAGCAAAGTTTTGCCCACATAACCCTTACTGTGCCTGCTACATGTCAATTTTCCATGTGAATGGGACACTTATAATGTGCAATGCAATCATCGACCCCATGATTTTTGCATTCCGAAGCCCAGAATTACGAAGTACATTTAAGAAGATGTTCTGCTGTGCCAGGTCAAACTGGAACTGGTAATACTTCATGAAAAATTAAGATTACAGAAGCACACCTATGGAGTGCTGTGCAACATCAGTTTGAAGAGATAAAAATACTCATAATTATGCCCAAAGTTATACTAAGTTTGTAAGATACTGTCAGTGATTTTCAGAGAGTTACCAAAGAATGCATGAAAACTAAGTTTGCATACAAATCTTTGCCAACCAGACCTGAAGAAATACAACTGATGAAGTTAATTCTGCCAACAATTTTCATGCAGGTAAAAAAATAACCGCATCGTGACAAATCTTTGCATAATGGCAAATGACAAATCTTTTGTCATTTCATAAAAATTCACATATAAATCTTTCACAGGAAGTCTTGTATTACCCCAGAGATGAGTTTATGCCAACTCATTTTGCATCAGTAATTTCAGTTTAAGGTGTATACTACTTTAAAATTCTGTTGAAATGAACATTTGTTTCTAAACTGTACATTTATCTAGAAGTCTGTGATAAAGCAGAAAATATGGACATGTAACTCGATTTTTCTGGAAAAGTGAATTTACAACTGTTCTTTAACATTTAGTCTCCTTAAAATAATGCAATTAATGTTCCCTACATTTCAAAAATAACTTCTGGAGTGTGAATCCAAGAGAATAAGATATTTTGATTTAAAAGTTATTCTTAGTGACTGAAGAGTGTTTTCCAACATAAAGTTGTTGTGGCAGCAAAGATAGGTTTTGAATTTTAAAAGACCTCCAAGGAAGTCAGTCACCTGGATAAGGAATCAGCAAGCCAGTCTGGAAGGATACTACAAAGCAGTGTGTAATTTATAAAATCCTAGTGAAAAAATTTTGAATTGTCCCTGCCAAAATAATACAAAACTCACAAAAATTTAAGGCAGGATAATTTTCAATAGCAAAACATCCTGAAGCAGTTCAAGGCATATGGTGAGGAATTAACCTCACAAAAATTCATTGGAGTTACTCAGCTGTGCCAGACAGAATATTTAATAAGAGAGAGACATGAAACTGAGAAAACCAAGGCACAGCTAGAACAAGAAGGAGAGGAAAAGATAAAATCTATTAGAATTCATAGATAAATAGAGGACTTTACTCTGATGGAACACTAAGAAAACCAGGAATTTCAAGATATATGGAATATGGACCAAACAATACCTATTCAAGTGGACTTACAGAGAAAGATGTAAGAAAGGGGCAATAAACCTGAAAGCTTCTATAGAACTAAACAAAGAAAATATCTTAAATGAGAAAAGAGATATTGAAAGGAAACTTTTTAAAACCTATGTATTTATTACAAAAAAAAGGTTTATCTATAAAATGGAAGTTCAGAAAGAAGTTCAGATATAATCACACATTTTATTTTAATAAGAATTTTTTCCTTTCCATCTAAAGCAGAACAGATGTAAAGTTGCACAGCAATAAACTACTGTTAGACCTGAAAAAAAAAAAGAAAAAAATATACAATATTAAAGGCAAGGCAAAACAAAAGGCCTACAGTACCACAACACACTGCACACAGTTGATGGGTTTCAAAATTATAAAAACTATTGGACAGAAAACTGTGATTTAGACAATCCTTATGTTAACTCTGCAACACATGAAATACGAAATATCTTCTAAATGCACTTCCCTCAAAACTTCATTTTCAATCCATTTCCCCAAAACCAGACATAGTTAAGAGAGCTAAGTAACCTCCACCATGTTAGAAGTCACTGCACCTTGTAAGGAAGTCCACTCTAACTCTACAGATGTAACATCTCCATGTTCAGACTGAGATCTTCAAGGGTAAATTTTGATAAAATATGTGCAATAAAAAATTAACCTATAACTTCTAAACATGGAAAAGTAATCAATAAAGAACATATATTTATCACTGCAAAGAGGAACATTTAAGACACACTCATGTCAAAATCCAAAATTCATCAACAAAATATATCATTGAAATTCTGTATAAAGTCCTTTGCAAAGTAAAAGAGGGGAGATTTAGACTAGATGTAAGGAAGAAATTTTTTCCAATGAGGGTGGTGAAACATCGGAACAAGTTGCCCAGAGTGGTGGTAGAAGCCCCATCCCTGGAAACATTTAAGGTCAGGCTGGACGGAGCTCTGAGCAACCTGATTGAGTTGAAGATATCCCTGCTCACTGCAGGGGTGTTGGACTAGATGACCTTGAAATGTCCCTTCCATCCCAAACCATTCTATGATTCTATGACTGCTCATTTTGGAAACACTGGCAGTTTCAGCTAGGAAGGGAACAAATGTGAGCGCCCAAATTGGGGGTGGACATGGCCATGGCTACAGCAGGCCCCAGATGGGGCCACCAGCTACTACTTTCTTCTACCACATCAACAAGCGGCAGCTCAGAATAGTCCTGAGACAGGATTGGCTTGGCATGGAGGAAACAGAACTTGGCTGCCTTCAGCCCTCATCTGACTGCTCCCACCTACACAAGAGTTTCAGGAACTGTCTGGCACCAACTTTCCTCATGGCATGCCCAGGCCCAGGGGAGAGAGGAGGGCAAGCCATCACCCACAGACCCTAGGAGCCAGAGTCTAGCTCTCATCCCTGTACAGTCAGCACACTGCTTTGCAAAAAGGACCTGGGCTCCTACCTTGCCACAAAGCCTGGCCTCCTGGTCATGCCAAGAGGAGAGCAGCCTGAGGCATGGAGGTTGGATGAGGCACCATGCCCACCCTCACCCCAGACCTCCAGCCTGCCTTACAGGTTTGTCACTGCCCTGCCTATGCTGCAACCTCGGGAAATGGCTGGGGGTGGTGGCACTGTCCCATCATAGTCCCAGACCCACAGTAGGAGCTCTTGGACAGTCTGTGTGGGGCACAGGCTCATCAAGCAGCTAGACAAATTTTTGGCAGGTTTTATCCCACGTTATTCTTTTTGATTTGCAAGTATTTCTGCAGTTACTGACATTGGAGCTCAGATTACCGTGAAATTCAAGCACTGTCAGGAAGTGGTTACTATTTAATGTTGCCAGGAATTAACTGCCTGTTCTTTGCAGCTTTACCTGACCTCATCTGTGGATACACTCAGAACAACATCCCAAAAGCATTTGTTCATGTCATGATGCCTGAGCAACACTTATACTTATGGCTTGAAGTTATGTGTGTAAACTAGCTATACAACTTGACGGCTGTTACTATTACACTGTGCGTCTAATATCCAGACAGCCAGCAAGGTGAGGATAAAGCTACTACATAAGCAGATCTAAGACAAGGCACAGAGAGAGCAGGCTTGTAAATTACGAGAATTGCCTATTGTTTAATGGGTTCAGGACAATAGAACTTGCCATGTTCTCTGTGTAAAATTGTGAGCAATGCAGATCCTATGCATTTGCAATACAGCTGAAATCTGCAGCAGAATATTAGATCTCAAGCTGATCCTAGAAGTTACATAAAAGAGTCAATATAAAAGTCAAAAGACACTTTTTTTTTTCCCCCAAGTGTGCACTAGTTATGATTAAATGGAGCATTCTCTTGAAAATATTTCATTTCAGGGGAGGCAGAGTCAGAAAGAGCACAATATTCTTGAATAAAAAAGCTTCTAGGAAGATTTTCATTTTTAAGTCTGCTAGCATTTGTTGCATGTCGGCAGATGGGAAAATCTCTATATGTTATCTCCTAATTGGTTGTAAATTTGGCTTGCATTTTAGCTTTTGTGTAGTCTCCAAGCAAATAAATTTTTCTGTTTCACACACTGTCTACATATATTTCCCTGTGTTGTGCTTGAAGTCTTCAGTGTACTGAAGTCAGTCTTGAAACTCTACTCTCATATATTAATGTATAACAGTGAACACTTTTCTCAAATTTGGGACTTTCCTTCATCTGCCCAGCTTTAAATTACAAGTGTCTGGGGGGCAGAACTGTACTTTAGCATTGGGAGAAATAAGTTCATCTTGGATCTTACCAGAAGCTAATAATCCTGGAAGGAAAATTCAGTCCCTCGAAAATCACAAACACTACAATAGGTGTTTCATTTGGAGAGGCCCACAGAACTTCACATGCCTGTGGCAACAAAACATTTCCTAGTCTTACTGCAAAACAGAAGAAGAAAAGCACCTCCTCTGTTTCTGTTGTTCTGAACTGAACTTCATGTTCAGGAACAAAGTGAACAAATCTGATAAAGGCACCCAGGGGAATTAATTCTACTGAAGCAGTCAGAATACCACTGAGACAGACTTGCATAGCAGTGTGATTTCGTTCACAAAATAGCAAGACAAACATAGTTTATTTGTAAGAAAATGAAGTTTATATCTTATTTATGTAAGAAAAAACTTGTTTCCATGAATTATGGTTCTGGATAAGACTTTCAGAAAATAGGTGTCTTGGACTACTATTAGCTGAACAAAATTTCAGTTTTTCAAAAAATATTTAAGTAACTAAAAAAAGAAATTTTACTTGAAGTGCAGAGCACTGTCAAAGGCAAACAATACTTATTTACAATATTTGTTTACAATATGACTTGAAGTAAATGTTAGCCTTCTCTTTTTAAAAATCTCAAGCAAGATATTTCATATAGAGTCAGCTAAAATCACAGGCAAGGAAAACAATAAAAGGATCTTAAAGTATCTATTTATTGTGAGACCTAATACTGCTTGTAGAAGAACTGAATTTAAATTATGGTCACAACCTTATGAATTTGGTTGATCTTTTGGATTTTATTTAGTCTTGGAGGCTTGGAACTTTCAGTACCTTTTTCAAGCCAATGTTCTTTTTAAAAAATCTTTTTGATTCAGATTTGAGCTAAACTGTTCAGATGATACGTTGATTCAAACAGAATCTATTCCCCAAGTCAGCACAGGGTCTGTTTTTTAATTCTATCAAGGTAATTACAGCAAATAGCTGTCTATGAAGATATTATGTCTTCATCATTTGATAGCACTTTAATAAGGCTTTGTTTGAAGTGTCACTTTTCCAGAAGACACAATGTCATTGTGAGTTTCCTATTCAAAGAGGATGACTTACACTACAATTCTGGAGAATAGAGTGTGACCATTTAAGAAAACTTTTCAAGTCCACTTGAAAGCAGCTTCCTTATGTCTGCAAATCCTCTCAAATTACT